TGGAAGAGAGACAAAAATTGAGAATCTCCCAATCTCTTGAGAAAAGAAATCGAATAGAATGAACTTCATCTCATTTAAAAGTTGAAAATAAAATTCCCTCGAGTCATTGGCGATTTCGGCGCATCGTGCCCCCCTCTCCTCTATAGATAATTAAGTTTAGGTGATAATGAAGAATCATGAGTAATTTTCAATGAGAATAATTAACTTGATGATTGTATGTTAAGGACAATGTACGAGTAGTGGAGTATTGAGTTAATTCTGTAAGTGTTGTAGGCATAAAACTGATGAAATTATCAATAAATAAAATTACAAGATGACGGAAGGAGTGATTTTTTAAACCAGTGGTGATACAGTTGTGATGAAATGTAGAAGATAATTTTTGCTCCATTCTTTCTACACAAATTAACAAAAAAATCAGAACAATTAAATAATATATTGAGTTTCAAAAGGACAAATAAATCGTCACAATGAAAATTTCAATTATAGATAATAGAATGTAAAGTCATTCAATAGAATAATAATTCTAGTAATGAAATAAAAAATAAATAATTTTTTTAATTCCACGATAAAATAGTTTCAAACCGAAACGACCAGCGGCCATTTTGTGCACCCCAATCACTCAAAATGGCGTCGAAAAATTTGGCGAATGTTTTCTTGAGGTTTTAAATATAATAAACATATTCCATCCCCCAGAAATAGTTCTAGATCTCAGAATTTTTGATGAAATATAGATGAGAAGTTTTCTCATTCTTTCCACTGAAAAAAAAAACAAAAATTTCAGAGTAAATGGAGTTATTCTTCCTTTATTCATGTTCGTAGACACAAAACAATAGTCAGGCCCAATGCCTGTATATTCTTCTCACTAAAGAGAAAAAAAAAATTGCTCTTTTACATCGTAAATTCGCCCATAATAATTCCAATATTCTCATTGGTTTTGCATCTTGTATCCATTCTTATTTTTCATCTACAGTAACAAGAGACAATTTCACTGCATTTTATATACACAAACTTACATCATACTTAAAATCGATTGTATGTCAGTTAACTGGGGATGAAGGAGAGAAAAAAAGCACCAAATCAGAATGTATTCATCATTTTCTGTGCAAATTTTTGAGCTTTGCTTCTGTTTCCAACACCAAGGGATCATCACAAACAATGATAGGGCAGGGATAAAGTTGAACTTGTACACAGGGAGTCTCAAGTGAATCCAAAATAGATCTAATTCATTTAAACAACTGCACAGATGAATGTAAAAACAATCAACTACAGCATCGACGCATAATGATTCACTAAACTCCACAGCAGATGCACAATCATCATCTGAATTCACCGGAACGTTGATTAATCCCTCAACCAAATAATGCGCATGTCTCGTGTGATTGTGGGTGGGTGAGGACTCCTAAGAATGATTTGCGGAGAACATATTCGACGGGGGGAAGGGAGGGAGGGGCCCTGAATTAATTATATAACATTTAAGATGATGGATCGATAAGTGTTCCTCATTCATTTTTTTTTCTTCCTTCGTTCGGCTTAAAGGAGATCCTCTCATCAATCGAGGATGAGCTGCTTCGGCTGTTCCCAGGTGAAACCATCTCGTCCGAAGTGACCGTACGTGCTAGTCTGTTGGTAAATTGGCCGTCGAAGATTCAATTCTCTGCAATAGGATTTTTTATTGAATTTATTAATTTATAAATAAACTAATAAATGAATTAATTAATTTTTATTTAATAAAATTAATTAGATTTAATGTATTAATTTATTAATTCATTATTTATTTATTCATTCATCAATTTTTTTAATTTTCGAAAGTTTTAAAAATTGTTTTTTTTTCTCGATAACTAAAAAATATTCTGAATTGAGTGAATGATGGCTTAAAAAATTTGTATGCATGTCCTTTTGATCGAGTTCGAAAGTGAAATTCTCCCCTATGAGAAGTTAATTTCAATTTTGAATTCCAACAATTTTGCGTTGATTACAAAAAAATTGTATAATTTAAATAATTTTCGTTATTATAACACGAATTATATTCGTTATATTCCTTAATAATAAAAAAAAGATCGTGACAATAGGAATTATATGTGCAATGCAACAAATTTCATTCTGAAATAATTCCATTCTAAATTTCCACATGAAATTTTCGATTAAAATCATCTTTCTCAGTTTGTTTTTCACATCATGGCATTCAAGAGTAGCAAATACAAAGCATAAAACATCATTGAAAGACGATTATCAAATGGGGGAGTTGTTTTCACGTGTCGCTCATGAATTTTTGTCACAAAGATTAATTAACTATTTAAAAAAAAACACTCACTTGACTATCTTTCCGGGGCGCAGGTCAAAGTTTTTGTTGACAATGCCCAGTAACTTTTCCTGTGGCAACTTCGATGTTCCATAATCGAAAACTGTGATGGATAGTGGCTCAGCAACCCCAATGGCATATGAAACCTGAACGAGGCAGCGTCTGCAGAGACCAGCCTTTACCAGTGACTTGGCAACCCATCTTGCTGCATAAGCCGCCGATCTGTCGACTTTGGTGAAGTCTTTCCCCGAGAATGCTCCACCACCGTGTGCACCCCAACCCCCATAAGTGTCGACGATTATCTTTCTTCCGGTCAACCCAGCATCGCTCTAAATAACAATTGAAGTTATGTCAAGTCAAAATTGATTTCGATCAATTCGACGATTTTTTTTGTTTTAAAAAAAATTTAGGTAATTGTTATTTCAATTTTTTTAACTGACTGTTGACATTACTTTGCATTCTATTGTTTATTCATTCTACTTTTATTGAATTGATGAAACAATTGAGAAGTTTCATCAAAAATTGATGAAGAATTGGAATTCATTTTGGAATTGGAATTCATTGGAATTCATTTTCATTCATTTATTCATTTTTTGCCTCCGAATGGATGTTTTGGCAAATTTAAGGTTAAACTAAAATTCAATTTTTCATACAGTTTTGAAGAGATTGATATTGTTTCAAAAATTAATTTTTCAACGAAATAATACGCAAAATTTTGATGGCATTTCAATTGATTGAGTATTATGACATCGAAGATTGAAGAAGAGAATAATAGAATAAGAATTTTAAAAAAGAGAACCCATTTGGAAGCAAATGACTAATTTATTAGCAACAATTCCTGTACTCATTCATCAAAAAAATGCCATTGATCACTTTTTTTATTACGCGTATGAATAAAATAAATTAGGTAAATATACTACAAAATAATACTAAAAAGAATGAATGAAAATGACGTCAATAAAAAATATAAAAAGAGAATAGTGAAATTAGAATTTCAAAAAAGAGAAGCCATTCGAAAGCAAATGACTAATTTATTAGCAACAATTCCTGTACTCATTCATCAAAAAAATGCCATTGATCACTTTTTTTATTACGCGTATGAATAAAATAAATTAGGTAAATATACTACAAAATAATACTAAAAAGAATGAATGAAAATGACGTCAATAAAAAATATAAAAAGAGAATAGTGAAATTAGAATTTCAAAAAGGAGAAGCCATTCGAAAGCAAATGACTAATTTATTAGCAACAATTCCTGTACTCATTCATCAAAAAAATGCCATTGATCACTTTTTTTATTACGCGTATGAATAAAATAAATTAGGTAAATATTACAAAATAATACTAAAAAGAATGAATGAAAATGACGTCAATAAAAAATATAAAAAGAGAATTGTGAAATAAGAATTTCAAAAAGGAGAAGCCATTCGAAAGCAAATTGCTAATTTATTAGCAACAATTCCTGTACTCATTCATCAAAAAAATGCCATTGACTTGTTCTTATTACGCGTATGAATAAAATAAATTAGGTAAAGAGGCTACAGAATAATACTAAAAAGAATGAATGAAAATTAATGATTTTATACCTGTGGTCCACCAATGATGAAAAGTCCACACGGATTAACATGAAAAATGGTCTTTTCATCGAGGTACTTAGCAGGTATGACTTCCTTGATGACTTTGTCCATAACAGCTCTGCGTAGTTCATCAAGTGTGATTTTTTCACTGTGCTGAAGTGATACAACAACAGTGTGTACACGAACCGGTACGCAAGCCCCCTGGTCCATCATATATTCGCATGTGACCTATTAAAAATAACACGTGTAATCTATTTCAAGCCCTGAACAGTTGTCATCATGTGCGAAAAAATTTTATAGCAAAACCTAGTTAATTGGGTAGAAAATTCTGTTGGATTTTTATTCAATTTTCCATTATTTTTCTGTACATTTTTTTTTTAATTTCAATGTTTAATGGAATGGTCAATTTTTATGCAGAATATAGAGATATTTCCTATAGAAATTCCTCGACTCAAATTTTCCATTTTTTAATTTCCTTCCCTCAATAGAATGAAGAAAACAAAAAATTTATATCGTAGAATTTTCAATCGAAATTTTCTATAGAGAGGGCCTAATAAAGCTGTGAAATTCTCCAATAGAATCATGAAAAAAATACTAGAAATTTCAGTAAAGGTTGAATTAAAATCCAACAATTTTATTTCTACGAAATTTCGTGTTCAATTATCAGTAAAAAAATCATCATAAATACTTGTGTCTTGGAGTCTGGTCTTGCCCACCATAATTCGCCATTTCGTCTGAGTTCCGCAATTTTTTGATTGAGTTTGTGCGCCAATACAACAGTCAGTGGCATGCACTCATCCGTTTCATCGGTTGCATAACCGAACATTAACCCCTGTTATTAAGAAAATAGAGTTGTAAGTTCATGTACAGCGATAACAATGGTGTTGAAATGAATATAAAGTAGACAAGACGAGAAGAAAGAGAATTTCAAAGAATTAT